GTGGGCTTCTCTCTGATCTGCAGTTTGCCTCAGTTTCACTTCTTGAATATATGGTGAACCATGCTACACTATATGGAATACCAAAGCTCATATATTTAGAAGCACAGAAATGTCAATTTCTTGTTGATATCATCAAAGATTTATAGGCTAAATGCAGATAAAGCCTTCCTGACAACAGAGGCTCATTATATCTCTTATGTTTCATCAAATATGAATCTCAAGTTTCAGAAATACCAACATTCTCATGGTATTTGTCAACATTTTGAGTTGCATCAATTTTCTGGTTCTGGAAAGTCCTGATATTTCTCCTGGACACACAAGCAGAACCACCAAGGAGTGCCAGCTTATTTCCCGCATAAGCCCAAACACGTCACAAACTCATGCTTCTGCTTTCAGAAGGTGTGGTCCAACAGAGATATCAGCATGGTATGGCTCTAACACAACAGAAACCAATCACTTCCTGGGCAGACATGAAGAAAACTTAGTCATGGGCATGTCTTAAAAACAAAACTTTCAGATCATTCTGGTGGATCTATCTGAATGACTCCTGATGAAGATACTGCATGACCATGAAACATCTGAATGTTCATTAGAGAGGTCCTCAAAGCACTCTCATCCCTTTCCTGCACCTGAATCTAAGAGGCATTGTCATTCTTTTCTTTTTTTCCAGACTGATTGAATGGGTATTTAATATGCCCATACAAAGCTGAACGGCTTCAGTGGGACAGAGAGAGCAGAGACTTGCTGAAAAAGAGCCTACAGTCCTGTGGCTTTCAGTACTCTCCTGGGAGATATCAGTTTGAGTTCCTTTGGTGAGATGAGAGACTTCAACCTTGGTCTTTCATACCTCAAGGAAGCAATCTGAAATAGTAATGCTTTTTATCAAGTGACGTGGCACCATTTCCTCTTGTGTGTGAAAACCCAACCTCATTAAAGCACTTAACCTTGGGAAAGTATTAGGCTGCGTAACGGGACTGAAAGGCAGAACTATATTCCAACAGCTGTCAGGACTCTCTGTGGTACTCCCCACCAAATACTTCAGGCATGTCAGCTTTGATAAATCTCATTTTAGGTGGCATTCTTGGCTTTATGAGAATTTGGTGCCCAACTCAGGGATGCAGCTTCCACTGAAGAGCAGAAAGGCAACAGAAGAAATGTTGCAATTCTGAATCAAAATATCCTTGGTGGACTTAGCTATGGCTGTCACAGAAGGACACCATCCAGCAAGGGAATCTCAGATCACACACCTCCCCCAGCTAAGAGCACGATAAATTTCTAAAGAAATCCATGGAAGAACTTCCATGGACTTCACTAGGAAGTGGTTTATTTCTTCCATGCCCCGAACTCCATCGTGATGTTTAAGCACTCCTGTTCACTAGCTCCATGAGGTAGAGTGCTTACATGACAAATGGAGCATAGTTTATCTCAATTCTCATAAAACTCTGCTGAAAAAAGAAATGGAAGCTATTAAATAATTCAAGGGTGTCATAGCCATCAGCTGGCTGAATATCTGTGAAACACAATGTGCTTACAGAACATGACACTAAATCCTGTCTTACTCAGAACTGCTGCTAAGAAAAAATATAAACATACAACCAGAAGACTTTTTTCTTCTCATACTGTGTGTCTTTTATTGACAATAACAATGGGAACACAGCATTTCACACCCAAGTAAGGATAAACTGTGATTTCAAATCAATATCACCTTTTTAATTTCTGGATGTAAGATATGTGTAAGGTTAAAGATGAGATACAATTGGAGCAACAACGTGATATAGCAGTGGGGCAACAAAATAACTGTAACATGTAATTCTCAAAATTAGAGAGCTTTAAGTTTTTTTCCTTAAAAGAGGCTATCAAAGTTTCAGACATTAAATATCATATGAGTCACATTGCAACACACTAGGATGGTATTTTTATGTTGTGAACTTGTAGATATATGTTGCTGCACTCAACAATAGACTGAGAGCACATGGACGTGAAACTCAGCTCTGGAAGCATTGGAAGGCTGTGTGGAGCTCAGAGAGCCAGTTCTCATGTAGATTCACCCCTGCTTGCAATCTTTGTGGGACTCAGATGAGGAGTTGCCTGAAGTGAACCAGCCCCACAACCACAACTGCATTTTTTCTGGGGTGGAGTTTTCTCTCCAAAAGAGAATTTACAAAGAACAAATACTTGGGCAATCTGGATGAGGAAGTGACTGGAACCTAGGAGTGACCCCAGGGAGGTATTGCATTTAAAAATGTGGGCATCCCTATTGACTTTAGTAAAGTGTTCAAGCAAAGCTGTAAGTGTGGTATCTATGGTGTTGCCTCTGTGACATGTATGCCAAGCTGAATGTATCAAAATTGGGCAAAAAATCCCAGCAGCTGAGCAAGGAGTCACCTAACCAAGAAGTCTCCTTGCAAGGTCAGTGGTGTGCCTTCAACTCCGCCCTGCTGCAGTTTGGGATCCCAGCTCAGGAACTGTTCCTGCCCCCACTCCATATACAAAGGCTTTGTTATCTTTAGCAGATAAGCACCAAGTCTTTTTTTTTTTTTCCCCCAAAGCTATACAAGAGGTCAATACCCTCTCTAAAAGCATAGTCACTGAGATAGCATGCCACTGTCACAGCCCCTCTGCCTGCAGAATTTAGCTGCTTTGATGCTTAGAGGTTAAGCATGCAGAAGTTTTAAGCATCATAATTTTAGGCACTAGTCCAGGTGATATATAGGCACTGTAAATTCTTCATGGATTTTCCACCCTTCAGGTGCAGTAATCCATTATGGATGTGGTTTATGACACAAAAATACTCACCAATGTTTCTGATCCTAGAAAGCAGAGACTGAACAGAGAATGTGGATTCCAATGAGTAGTCACGGAAAAGTAACTGAAGGAGATCAGAGATTAAAGCAGCTGACAAGGCGCAGAAAATTAAGCACTGGTGTGAGTTAAAGCAGAGAAGAAAAAAAAAAGAAAAAACACAACAGCTGCAAATCTGTGTGGCTGTGCATGCTCAGGAGTGACTGCCTGGACCATACTGAGTTTCTCCTCATGCAGCAGATTCAAAAGGAAATGTAGTCAAGAAATGTAACTTCTTCAAAGACAGTAAGGTGTGGTGCTGAGACACAACTTCCAATACAAATGGGAAAACATCAACAAAATACTTCTGTGTTAAGTCTAGCTCCTCCTTTTAGGATATTTTTACCTTCACACATGTACATCCTTAATTACTGAGGTAATTTCACAATGCTCTGACTATGAAGCAGGGCCCTCTTTTGTCCAACAGCAGCTCTGGAGGAGAGGAACTGCAGGGTGAAACAGGCAGTGCCTAAAAATCACATCTACATTCAACACATTTTGGACATTTGCTCAACTAGCCTCAGTCCAACCTTGCAGCTGGAATGCATCTGGTTTGGGTGGATGCAAGAGGAACACGAAAACATACCAGGATGCAAACCGAAGTGCATGTGTATTGGGGGTGGGTGTTTGGGAGATTCATTTCAAAAATGCTCCCATGGACATAGTCACCAGGTGAATCCAAAACAAAAAAAAACAGATCTGACTGTCACTGCTGCAATTGCTTGCAATGCCCCACCATCCCAAGCAGAGCACAGTGCTCACCTCCCCAGCCCCAGAGGCAGCAATTCTCCCCACCCCAAAGGGCAGGTATATATTTGAAACGACAGAGATGTAGAATCTGATGGAAACGTAATTCTTTGAGTGTGCAGGCAGTGCCCAGGGCCGCGGGAACACTGTAGTTGTTCCTTCATTCACTACTGTTTAGTAGATCCTCAAAACAGCAGCGTTGCAGTGGGGTTTATAAATTACGAGACAACAGACAAAGTGAATACATAAGACAAAATTAAAGACCTTACTGCTACCTCCCATAAATTATCTCTGTAGTATTTTAACAGCATGAATTTACGTGTATGTTAAAAATAGTATGAGAAACAAACCTACCTCGTAGACTAACTAGGCATTAATGAAAAAGCGGAATATTGGTTTGTGCTCTCCAAAACATAAAGAAAGAAAAATATCCCCATCAGTTCTGATAATGCCTTTCCAGGGGAGAGGCAATCATATTCTTCTACACTGAAAAAGAGAGCGATCTTTCGGAGTCGGAAAGAAAATAAATTAATAAAACTAATTACACCCTCCGCGCGCGGAGGAATCGAAGGCGCTAAGTCAGCCCAGGAGAGACGGGCGCTTTGATTCTGTTCGCTTCACAACTTCCCTGTCGCTGTGCGCGGCCCCAGGGAGGCACCTCCGGCGCTCCCGCGGGGGCTGCGCGGAGCGGCCGCTTCCCCCGCAGGGCAGCGCGGTGGTTCCCACCGAGGCTCCGCATCGCCTCCCGGTGCCGTCCCGGGCAAACTCCGACTCCCGGTGACTCCCCCCGAACACACTGGCTGGCTGTGCTGCTCATGGCACCGCTCCCTTAAAGGGGCCGCGCGTGTGAGAGTTCGGTGTGAGCGCGTTGCACACCCGCTGCCGCTGCCCGGAGCCGCGCAGAGCTGCCCCCGGAGCCCCGAGCCCGCCCCCCGCCCGCCAGTGGCCTCGGCGAGGAGCAAAGCACTTGGCATGTAGGAGCGAAGAGAGAGAAAAGGTGCGGGGCGGAGGGAGGAGAAGGAGGGGGGAGGAAAAAAAAAAAAAAAAGAAAAAAAAGAGCTGCCTCTTTAAATGCTGGGGGCTGAGTGCTTGCCGGGGCGTCCGCAGCTGATCCAGCCTCCCTCCCTCCCCTCGGCCGTGCCCCTCCGGAGCTCATGCCCAGCCGCGGAGCCGGCGGCGCGGCGCTCGGGCGCTGCCGCTGCGCGGGGAGCGCGGACCGCGCCGGGCCGGGGCCATGATCGCGATCCAGCCGCGCCACCGCCCCGCCGCCCGCTCGCCCTAGAGCCGCTCCCGGCGCCGCACAGCCGGGCCCGCCGGGTAAGTTCGCGGCCGCCCGGAGCCGGGAGAGGGCGGGGGGAGGCGCCCCTGGCCGGCGGCCCGGCCCTGCTCACCTGGGCGGCGGGGCAGGTGCGCACCTCGGCCGTCCCCAGCTCGGACCTCCCGGCCTCCCCGGCGCTCGCAGCCCCCCTCTAACAGGTGGCTCGGTGCCTGCCCCGCTCCCCGGCGGCTCCTGCGCCTCTCTCCTCTTCGCTGCCGCCTAACAGGTGGTGGTGCCGCCGCGCCTTCCTCCGTGCAGGTAGGGAAGTGCCGTGTCCCGTTCCTCCTCCCCCCCGGCCCCGAGGGGCTCTCCCAGCCCCGGCGGCTCTGGCAGGGACTGCGCTGAGCGGGGAGAGCCGGGGTGCCGGCTGAGGGGGGAGCCGCGCTTATGCCACCCCTGCTCCTCTGGGAGCCGCTCACCCCGCGCTGCCTTCATGGCCCCGCCGTGTGTCTGTCTTTGCAGCGGGCATGGGGAACCAGGTGGAGAAGCTGACCCATCTCAACTACAAGGAAGTTCCCACGGCCGACCCGACAGGTATGGACAGAGATGAAGGGCCTAGGATTGGGGTCTCCTATATTTTTTCGAACGACGATGATGAGCTGGAGCAGCAGCAGGATTCAGTGCATGACCTGGGGGGTGAGCACCCTGCCCAGCAGCCCTACGATCCCCAGCTGCACGAGGTGGAGTGCTCAGTGTATTACCGGGATGAGTGTATTTACCAGAAGAGCTTTTCAGAGGAGGACATGCAGCCAGAGGAGGGTGATGAAGGAGGTGGGGGGCATCTGAGCACCTACACCCCGGAGAACCTACTGAATAGGTGCAAGCCAGGTGACCTGGTGGAGTTTGTGTGCCAAGCACAGTATCCGCACTGGGTGGTCTATGTCGGGGATTTTCAAGTTGTGCACCTACATCGGCTGGAGGTGGTGAACAGCTTCCTCACCGACGCTAGCCAGGGCAGACGGGGCCGCATTGCCAACCAGCTGTACCGCTACAAACCCCTCAGCCCAGCCGTGGTGGTGCGCAATGCCTTGGAGCAGGTGGGTTGCAAGGATCGGGACTTGAGCTGGAGAAACTCTGAGTGTTTTGCTGCCTGGTGCCGGTACGGCAAGCGAGAGTTTAAAATCGGCGGGGAGCTGCGCATAGGCAAGCAGCCTTACCGATTGCAGATCCGGCTGGGTGACAAGCGCAGCCACACGCTGGAATTTCAGAGCCTGGAGGATCTGATTATGGAGAAGAGGAGAAATGACCAGATCGGTAGGGCTGCTGTGATCCAGGAGCTCTCCAGCCACCTGCAGGCTGCAGAGGAGGAGGAAGAGGAGGAGGAAGACCGTCATCATCATCCAGGTGCTCAGACTGCTGTGGAATAGCAGCCTCAGCACCACCATACTGCTTAGCCTGGGTGATGGGGATTAAAACTGAAGGCTTCGAAATTGAGCTGTTATAAGCCCTTTGGGCTGCTTCGGTGCAGCTTCATTCCAATCACATGTGAAAGGAAGGGGGAAAGCTGATTAAGTGTCTGTGCTTTAGTGCTTAACTCCTTCAGTGCTTGATGATAAAACCCCTGACTTATTTGTAGAGGATAAAACTCAGGGCAATTCTACTCCTCTCCCACTTCTTTCCCTTCCTCTCTGCTGTGTTCACACATAGCCTTTTCCTCAACCATCTGCTAGTAGGCTTGACCCTACAAGATGCTAAATGCCTTTGACGTCTACTTATCAGCAGAAGTTAATAGTATTTAATACTATTAAGAAGGAGCCAACAATTTTCAGGACATGACCATGTAGCTCTAAGCATGAGGATATTGTTTTCCCTTCTATGCTACTGTTTCTTTTCAGCTGTGGCTTCTGTTGGTATTGCAACAAGCTTGCCTGCTTGTCTGGAGGAAGATTTTGTGGATTAGTAGCCAGTCCTCCAGAAGGCGTAAAGCAGAAAGCTCCACTAATTTTGAAGAAATGGGTTTGATATGCCAGTGCCTTCCTAAGTTATAGGAACTTGCAGATGGGCAGGGGGACCTTTTCCTTTGCTATCAGCATGTGGCTTTGGGGACAGAAAGATGTTTTTATTGGTGATGGATCCTAGGGGATGAGAAACTTTGCCACCCCAGTTAAGGAGTCTGCACACTGGTGTGTGCTGCGACTCCTACAGGCAGATACTGAACTGTGCCAGTGCTCATTACAGGCTACCTGGCTTCTCCTAAAGCAAATGGCAGAGCTCCTGATTATGCCTGTTGTACAGATCGAGGCAGTAGAAACAGGTTGCTTGTGTGTGAGAGTGTCTTGAGTAAGCTGTCCCTCAAGAGGGTGACCTCTTGGCTGGGTGCTCCTGGCTGTCAGCATGTCACAGGTTCTACATCACCATAAACACAGCTGTGATGGAAAGTGATGGAAGGGAGCACATGCTGGAAGATATCACAGGCAGGGGGTTTTGGATGTTCCTTTTTTTCTTTCCTTACTGCAAAGAAGTTTCCTTTTCATTAAGAATTTCATGTTTCCTTTTTTGCTAATTTTTATGGTATGCAGCTGAGCTATAGCATTAGAGAAAAGGAAAGGACATGCCTCCAAAGTTGTGCAAGTCCCTTGGGAGGGAGAGTGCAGTGCCACTTGCCCTGAATGCTCCCTGAACTTGTTTTCAGCTGTTGAACTGCTCTCCCACACAGGCAGTACTGTCAGATCTTTGTCCTGGGATCTGGATTGTGTGAGCAAGCACTGATTTGGAGGCAGTCTCTAAAGCAAAATTCCTTCCCCTTAAAGCACAAGATGATGACATGAACTTGAAGATAAGCTTGAGTTCATTTACATAATGGAAGCTAACAGTGTGATGTAAACTTGAAGCATAGTTAATATGGTCTTCCTTGCAGTTGTTTACAGTTATACCACAAATAGCAAAGTACTCTGTGTCCTTTCCACCCCTGAGAAGGGAGCAAAGTTTGTCGTTTAAGAATAGGTAGATACCAGCTTTTGATTAGTTGTGTCTATAAAAAACAACTTTGCCAATATGAGCCAACTAGATTGTGGTGTCATGTTTTCTGTCTAAAAGACACAAACTAGAAAAAAACTGTGAGAGACTACTTCATCCTCACTTCAGAGGAAAAATAATTTTCAGGGTTATGCAAATACATCATATACTGTTCCATTAATGACTCGCATGCTCTCACTTTGCCCTGTGAAACACCCAAATCCAAAGAATAGTTTAACACCAAGCTTCCTTAAAATGCTATAGCTCAGGTGCCTCCACTAAGTGTTTTTTTTCACCAATATGCAATTGAGTTATACTCAGGTTACTGTGGTTGTCAAACAGATGTGCAACCTTGATTTGATAGCATAAAAACTACCCATATCTAACTGTGATAGGGTTAATATGTGGATATCTGCACACAGGTTTTATACAACTACTAGTAACTACTGAAAGCTGAAACGATCACTGAAATAGTCTGAAAAGGAGTGAAGGAGAGTCTCTCTGTTGTACTACTGACTGACATGAGACAACAGATTATCTAGACCATGAACAAATGTCTGGCTGTGGTTTCTTTCATACTGAAACCTTGTACATAACAAAGTTTATTTCACTGTGTAATATAGCTATGTAAAATAATATTTTCTTACAAATATTTTTGAAATTTTAAAAAAACCCTTCATAACCTTGCATTTGAAAGTAAGTTGTTATGCACATTATTTTCCAGTCCTCTGAATGGGTTTATTTTTCATTTGTGATCTAAAGTATATTCTAGGTCATAAAGTATAGAAACTGCTATAAATGTCAAATATTATGTATCTACAGGGTACTAAACAGTAAAGAAGTTGTGAAAATATTTTTCCCTTGTGTCTGAAACATCAGAACTATGAAACTTAACCATTTCTCTCCTTCTGAGATATCCTGCGTAATCTGGCTATGTTTTCAATTCTTTATTTCCACTTTTTTGTTTTAATGAGAACAGGACCAAATCTGCTTGGGAATGGAGAGCAAAGCTTCTTTGGCCAACTGAAATCTTGTCTTGTGCTGATCTTGGTGCTTCTCTGTACTGGTCATGCCTTTAGGGATAAATTCCCTCACAGGCACAGGGCCTTAGCAAAGAATTCCAGAGCTTGAATTGCTTTGTTAGGACAGAGAGTGAAGGGAGAGCTTGCCTCATAGCAAAGCAGAGTCTGGCACGAATTCTGCTGTGCTATAAAACCCATATGCTCCTCTGACACCTGGGATATAGGTGTTTGATATTTAAAACATAGATATCTGGAATTTTTAAAATTCTCTACAAACTATGTTTGGGGACTTACTGTCTCCTGGCATTCCATTATGTGTAAAAGTAGAAGAGGAAGGGAAGCTTGTCACTTTTTAAATTTTGTCTGGGAGAGGGCTACCTCCGTATAGGGATTTCTTATTCCAGCAGATAAAGATGCAGCTGTTGAATCTTTAACAGGCAGTTCCTTTTTTCCTACCTGTTGATTAGGCAGTGTTATTTAATAGGTGCTACTAAACACCACTGCACACATTCCTAAGCAGTCTGGTTTTAAAGCCATGGACCTCTAATGAGCTGGATGTGAGAACAGGAATTGTTGTGGTAGCACATCACAACTGCTTGGTTTCTTGTCTTTGCTGTACTTTGCTCAGTTACTGTCTGCAGATTGGGCTGCGAATTCTGGAGCTTAAAAAGACATCCCAGAAAAACTGACTCTTTTGTGTATGTGTCTACTTCAGGATTCTTGTGTAGATCACAAAAGAGGGGGAAAGAATAGATAAAAATACTGTTCACTGCAGCTGCTACTTTAACATAAAGGAATGCAGGTGTGATCCTTCCACAGAACGTGCGGTTCAGCAAAGGTCCTAAGCCTTTACTGAAGTTTAAAGTTTTGACTAGACCCTACTTTCAGCCACTTGAGAATCAGTAAGACTATTCACATGCTTTAAGTGTATATTTACATTTCTTAGTGAATGAGGGTCTGGAATTTCAATCTGAGGTCTCTAGTGGGAGTATGGAGGATCTGAGGTTGCATAATCAATAGGGGAGAACAAGCAGTGCAGTGAAAACTGTTCCTCAAAGGGCCTCTTGTCCAAACAAAGGTCATGGAATCCAGCCCAAACTTTGGCCTCAGTTTCCCCTGGAATTCCAGGGGCTGCACTGATTTGGTGAGAGGTGTGTTACACAGCAGTTGTAAGCTAAGCTGATGATCTGCTGCAGACTGCTCTCTGGTATCTTTGTCTTGTCATGCTTGAACTTTCCCTTGCGTTTTTAACATTTAAAGTTAACATAATTTGTTTTAAGAGCCCTTTGATTGTGCAAACACTTAATCATCTATATGAATTTACTCATTTGGGCATTCCTATTGCTGTGAATATCAGTATGCACGTGTGAAGGCTGACAAGGCTGAGCCCCAGATGTGTAAATGTAGCTACAGCTAGGAAATGTAGATGAGCAGTCTTATTTCCCTGGAGTATTGGTGTGTTTCATGCAAATAATGTCTTGGAAAAACCTTTGTAGTAAAACCTACAATTATCCCTTGATCAAGTAATTTTTAAAACACAATTTAGACATTCACCTTCCATGGCAGTGAACAAGGACATAAACTGAAGACTATTTTGTTATCCCTGATTCTGTGTGAATGCAAAATATTGATTACAGCAACTCTCTAGATCTCATCTGGCCAGTATAGTAGGCAATTGTAGGGTAGGCAGGGAAAATTCACAAAAGCTAATTCAAAAACTGTATTTTCGTACTTGGAAAAATACTTTCTTCAGACTGAAGGACCCTAGACTATGGAAGCAAACTTTAAATTGCTTTGTATAAATGAAACCCTAGGCAAACTCCTTAAGTTTTGTTCATTTGAATTCATTATTTCACTCAGTACTAAAGTAGGTAATATTAGGTGATGAATCTGTTTCAGATTTTGAATGTAATGGTGGTTTTCTGTTTCTCTTCTCCTTTGGCTAAGCGTTACCAAAGGTCTGTCCTTGGGTACGTGAAGTGTGTTGTTGAATGGTTTCCCACCTGTGCTTCTCTGGCAATTAATAAAACCAACTGTAAAGCTAACAGCCATGTAGGAACAAATATTTTTTAAAGCAAAATTTTAATTTTGTATGACAGATCAGAGACTAGTAACTAAGTAGAGGTAGGAAATACATTGTTTCCAACAGCAGTTTCTATTTGTAAGAAATCTACTGTTAATTGAATATGTGTTGACTACTCTTATAAATCAGTGTGAAGTGATAAGGTCAGGAGAATTTTATCATGGGCTTAGATTTTCAATTTAGACTTTTTTTAAACTGTGAATGGGAAGAAATCAGGGTGATTTCAAACACCAGTGGTTTAGATGGTTCCTTTGGATTAATATTGAATTAGAAGCTTTCTTTAAATGCACACTTGGAATTCCTGATATTGTAACACTTCATGAAATCATCCACAATAACAAGTGTAATCACAAATATGATTTTTTCTACCGTGACCATTTTCTGTAAGCTGTCTTCTGTCAGTAAATGTTGAATTGTTAGTGCAAATATCTTCTTTTCCTGAGAAAGAAGTACACATCATTGATTGTACCATTTCCTTCAAAATGAAGGGCATTGCATAGTAACTCAAAAGAAATAAAAGATTTATAGTATCTTTTACAACCTTTCTTTCTTTTCTTTGTTTTTTTGAATGGCATGTTTTTCTCCAGCTTTTTGGAAAACTCATGATTTCTCATGATGGATGCATCAAACACAGAACAATCAATATTTTCCCTGCCTTCACATGTTAGATGAAAATCTAACTCTTTGGTTATATTCTTGCTACAAAGAGAGAGGAAGAATAATCTCTATACAAGGCCAGACCATGAGATGCTTAATAGGTGATAACTGCATTAAATCCAGTGAGGATCTGGCCCATAATTAATTTTTTAAGTGGAAAATGAATTCAGCAGCAGATCATATAGTATTAGCTGGCATCCAGGCTTGTCTTGTCTGCCAGCAACTGCTTAAGGAACAGATGTAGTGTCTGCTGGAGGGAGAAATGAGAGAACATCAGAACTCAAGGGGAGTTTTGGGGAAAATCTGTAAAACTGTTCAGTTTGTGTGATGTTTTGTCTCGTGGCAGATCCATGGATGGTGTGGGATCTGTGTTCTACCCATACCAGATGTAGAGATGTTTCTTACTCAAGGTGACAAGGCCATGTAAGATGTTACATCCGTAGTGTAACCATTCTTACTTCATCAAAGCTTTTCGCTATGTGCATATTCACAATGGCAAAAACAGTGATAGAACCAACAAACTGTACTTCTCCCTGAGATCCTGACCAGAAAGGGCTATTTGAATCTTGCACATAAACAGAGTCAGCTCAAGTAAGAATTCTTCGAGTGAAACCATCCCGAGGAAATCTAGTTGTAACAAGATGAGACTTCTGATGAAAGTATGGGTGGAGATCTTCACTCTTCTGTGGTTTGCAGCTGTTCTTGACAGCTGTCTCTTAGGTGTGACAGTGTGAGACAAATTTTTTTATTGGAGACAGCAGCTTTTAAGGCTCAGGGCTGCAGGTGTGACTCTACCATAACATCAGATTTGTAGCTCTGGCATGGACTTAGGTGACTTTGAACAAGATGTATGAGGCACCCAGCTGTGCTCAATGTGACTGTGAGAGCACCTGAATTTTCAGGTGTGTGATGTTAGATTTGAAAACATGAAGAACCAAAAATGTGAGCTGGGTGACTGAATCATTATTTGAAAATCTCTGCTCAGCTGTCACCTGGCACTGGAGGCTGCTGAACACTGAAGCTTGATTTGTGTGTGTGTGTGTGTGTGTGTGTGTGTGTGTTTAGTTAGTTAGCATAGTGTTTTCGTAATCTTGAGGTTCTGGGCCTTTTTCTCACCCTGAAGTTTCTCCAAGTACATAAAGTAAAGAAGCCCATGAGTTCTTTCACAGCCTGTGCCCACAGAGAGGGATATCCAGCAAGTAGGATCCTGGCTCACATCCCAGTGGCTGCTTCCAGAATGTATGTGACATTAGATACCAAAAAGGAGCATCTTGAAAAGGACATTTTCACTGCTCTTGTATTTCAGAACACACTTGAGCTAGAAATAGGATAGTGTAAAATGAGTGTACAGGGAAGTGGACTGTGATGAGCTCTCTACACTCCTGACTGGTTGCTCTGAGCTACAGGACTTCTGCAGAGAGGTTTTTTCTTCAGTTCCCTCTTTAATACACTGTGGATGACTTCCAATACAGCATTCATGAAAGTCCTCACCCCATGAAAATCTGGAAGTGATAGGAAGTTTGAATCCCCATCATCCCCAGGCAGAAGTGAAAATCAATTTTCAGTCTTCCTCCATCCTGAAACCATGCCCAGATCTCTAGGACTGCCCACCACTACCACCTCTTATCCTTGCAAAGGAATATGGCCTAAGTTTCAATTTGAAAGAGTGGTTGCCTTATACTCTTCCTAAGAGCTCTGCACTGTGGCAGGAGGCAGTAAGAGTGTTCTTGTAGCCAAGAGTAAGGTACCCAAGGACTAGAGTGGAGAGGAAGGGGACAGGGCACAGCAGACTTGTGAACAGTGGAAAATCCATATGGGTGGGAGGGATCTCTGGAGAGAATCTAATCTACCCCCCCTTGCTCAAGGCACATGCAGCTAAAGCAGGTTATTAAGGGCTGCATCCAGTCAGATTTTCCATAACTCCAAAGATGGAGACTGAGGATTTCTCCAAGCAACCTTCCACCACTTATTTGCCAGAGTTTTTTGTGTTTGAGTTTTGTCAAGGACTCCTTGATCATCTGCTTGAATTCTTGCACATAGGAATGGACCATTCTCTATTTTCCAATCCAATAAGCAGAGATTCTCCCTGTCCCTCCTTCAGTACAGCTGGTCAGGCTCCCATTGTATCCAGGAGAGCATCCAGTCAACCTTCTTATCATCTGTGATGCTCCATAGTCTACTGACTTCCTGCTGCAGCTCCTTTACCTGTTCCAGTGGATGCTTCACCAGCGCAGACCTGCAGAAAAGGAGCCCTGGGAACCCACTGCAGCCCGAGACTGCAGAGCTGAGTCCTCGGTGGTGAGTCAACCTCAGCTGAGGGCTCAACCCACCAGTTGCTCTTTCACTCCTACTGAGTGAGAGAAGAAAGTGGAAAAGCTCGTGGGTCAAGGTAAAGACTGGGACATCAGTAACCCGTGACTGTCACAGGCAAAAGAGACATGTATTGGGGAAAATTATATCTATTATCAATTAAAATAGATTTGAATGGTGAGAAAGAAAAACAAAAATTAAAACAAAGCTTTCCTCTCTCCCCCCCAACACAGAGGGGCACAGGGGTGGGGATAGCACTGTGGTGGGTCCCTCACAGCCCCTCCAGGCCACTCCTCCCTCCTTCCCTGTCTCCTTGTCCCAGTACAGGCACTTCCCTGGGCTACAGGGGTGTCTCTGTTCTAGCCGGGCCTCTCCAGGGCTGTTGAGGGGGATCCCTGATCTGGGCCTGCAGCCCCTCCTGCCCTCCTCCTTCTCCAACCCCCTTTAGGGGGTCCCTCTGCTGCTGCTTCCTCCTTGGATGCCAGTGGCACATCACCACCATTGCTGAGCGTCTCTGTTGCTCACAGTGGAGTTTCTGGCCCCTTCTGGGCGAGTAAGTGCACCTGTCAGCCACAACACACTGCTGGCTGTGTGCTAGGGCTGGCCACCATATAGATCTCTCCCTAACACCTGATCCAGAGTCCAATGGAAGTGAAGGATTCAAAACATCCTTTAGTCAGGAAGATCTAGCAGAGTGTGTTGGAAGAGTTTGGAGCTTGCTAGAAACTCATGTCACGGTCAATGAGGCTTATTTGGCTCACTCTGGGTCACTGAGAACTGTGGTCAGTCTGTGTCGGAACCAGAATTTGTTGCTTTCATCAAGTTAATCAGAAGAAATTGACTGGGACTGTTAAGAATTGAGGATAATATAAAAGTCTATGCTCTCTACTTTTTCCTTGCTCCTGAGCTTCTTCCGTCCTGTCCTATTCAGAAGAATCGTTCTGGGACAAGGCCTGCTCTTTGTACAGTAGTTAGTGTGATGAGGTCTCAAGGTGTTTACAAAGTATTAATTAACTCAATCACCAGAGGGCAGAGGAAATGAAATGAGGATGTTCTGGACCATAAAATAGATGACTCACATCCATGAAAAAGGTTTAATTGAGCAAAACAGGTACATAAGTGTACCTGGCTCACCACAGAAACTGTACAGAGAAAGATGAGCCTCCAGAGAGGAAAGGATCGAGGCACCCTAACAGCAACACAGAGAAATGTGTGCAGTGCCTATGTAAATTGCCTCTGTGGAGAACAGGTCTGTGCACAACTCGTCCAGCCCCCATAGAAGGCAGCTGGCAGTAGCAATCTTCTTTACGAAGCTTTCATTAGAGCTCTTGGTCACGTCCAATGGGGAAAAGGTGCTTTGCTGGGAACCTCAGCACTGCATACACAATGAGAAGTATATCCTTGACACCTAAAGGTGTTACTGTGGCAAGGGTGTTGTCTTCTTTGTGTTTTCTGTGCTCTTGTTCCTCACGAAAGCAATGCACCTTTGAAAGGAATGTGCAGAAGAGAGAAATGTTCAGTGGTGGGGCAGACTTGTGTGTACACCTACCCGTGGTGTTCTGTGCTACAACCAGTCTCCTGGAGCTGGGCTCTGTAGCTCTCACTGCAGACTGAAGAAATGAGATACCCACGCCCAGACTTGCAGATAACGGGCTCTCAGTCAGCAGTTTGCCTAGAAGGTGGTTTCAAACCTCTGCTCTGAGTAATCCAGTGCATGGTCTTGAACACTAAACTTGAGCAAATGCTCTAACCAGTGCTTAGGGCCAGACCCATTTATATTCTCTGAATTGTGTCAAAGCAGAAGAGCACTAGCAGCAGGGAACAAGAAACCTCCACCTTCAAGTAGGTAGAAGTAGTTACAGTGTTCTCTGGAGAAATGAGACACCAAGATTTCAGTTATTCCAAAAGTTCAGGATTTTCAATGGCAGTGACAGTCCTTAACTTTTCCATGAAATACACACAGCAGCACACCTCTAAGTAAGTGAGGGAGACAAGTCCCATGGTGGACTGTTCAATGTCAGACTCCAAGGGTCTCTGTAGTATATGTTTGAGCTATGTTTTCAAGAGGTAGAAGTGGTCACAGCTCATGTGCATGCACACAGATGATGTTTGGAGGTGTTTGGCCAGATCTTCTTGGCCCAGGATGTCAAGGATTCCACCTTTAATGTCAGGGGGCCAGACTTTTGGTGAGTTTACCATTATTATTACTACAGACTACAGATATGATTAAAAGACATACTCAGCTATTAAAAAAGTAGTTTCTGATTATCCCTAAGTATAAAATAGTTTATTCCTTCCATGCACAACTCTGCATTTTCCCACCTTCAGTAGGTCCTAACTCAGGTTTACCTAGTTACAGCCTTTGCATGTCCAGATGCATTTCAGATTCCCAAGTCTAATGAGTTCCCATCACGTGAATTGATTATAATACAAAGCACAGGAAGGAAAGCCGTTAAATCTTAAATTAAGTTATTAAATATTACTTCAGAAATTCAATAGCAGCTTGTAGCCCATGGGAAGTGACTGCAGGGAAAAGTACCACTTGTAGGTGAGGTGGCACTTGGAGCACCTTA